AACAAGTTTTGGCAATAAATTTATGAAAGTATAAATATTACAAAACTTTTCAGTTTAATAGTAACTTTGAAGTACATGCAAAAAAATTTTCATTTTTTTTTTTTGTTTTTTTTTTTTGTTTATGCGACACAATGATCGCAAAAAGTGACCAATGGAGCCGTCCAGTTTTGTAGACCTGAAAGATGTGATAATAAAAACAGTTAGAAGATGGTGTCATTGAATATAAAATAAAAATAATATGAAAATATAAAATGAGTGATAAGACTTTTGTGAAGCTAAAGAACGAAATAAATGCTCGGAGGGCAGGGAGAGAACAAACTAACACTCTAATCACTCTGTATGTAGATCATATGTAACAAAGAACAAATATTTGATATACTGATTTTGAAGACCGTTGATGTCTACAGGTGTGATGGTGTAGTACATTAGTACGTACCGTTTGTCGTCTAGTATGGTCTCGTTATGTTTCCGTTCACTTTCAAATCGGGTGAATAGAAAGCTAAACACACTCACTTCTTGCGCTTATGGGCTAGCACATCAGAGCCAGACGTGAGACCTACAGAATGGATTTCAATTGATCGAATGCACACATTAGTCACCGTAGGCCACAAGCCATCACTCTTAACCAAAAGAGCTACTGCCCCGTGCTGGTCTGGAATGATGTGCTATGAAGTGAGATTTCAGATCCGAGCACATAGTCAGCGAGCGCTGATCTGACGTGCATTGTGGAGCTTCCGATTGAACGTGTGCGTGAGTGTCAGCGTAGTCATTAGGTTATTGAGCGCCGTAACCACATCCAGCGGGATAGCCTAATGTCCATTTTGTCGTTGTGACGTAGATTGGAAAAAGTCGGGGCTCACCAGCCACAAAGAATAAATTTTTGCTTATGCGACACTATGATCGCAAAAAGTGACCAACGGAGCCGTCCAGTTACGTAGACCTGGGAGATGTGAAAGTAAAAACAGATTGAAGATGATGTCATTTAGGTAAAAAAACATAAATTAATGCAAAGACTATTTAGTTGGAAGAGTAAAAGTAAGCAACTCAGGAAAAGGGGAATAAAAACTCACACTATTTAAAAACACACTAATATAAGGGCAATAACCTAATTTTTGTGTTATTCAATTTCAAAATTTGAAATGAATAACACAAAAATTAATATATATGTATTTTATATTTAAAAAAAAATTAAAATATCTAAAAAATAATTTAATAAAAGAGAGTTACTTGACTTTTATTGTTTCACGATGGGTTTGACTCTGTAAAGTTCAAGAACCATTACAATTATTTACAAGAACAAGTTTTGGCAATAAGTTTATGAAAGTATAAATATTACAAAACTTTTCAGTTTAATAGTAACTTTGAAGTACATGCAAAAAAATTTTCAATTTTTTTTTTTTTTTCAGTTTCAATTTTTTTTGTGTGTAAAGGCTTAAATAAGGATGATTTAAGAGCCATTGTCTGTCAGAATCAAACTGTCGCAAAACCTGAATGTTCAAATTTATTTTATTTTTTTTGTTTTTTACATTTTGTTTGTATAATAGATGCAATGACATATATATATTATCTTTTTCTAAATATTTGGAATTCCCTATAGGTGGTACTTTGAAAATTGTAAGAATTATAGCAGCCATGGTGTAGTGGCTTCAGAACTGGAGGTCCGCAACATTGCTGATTAAAGGCACGGTGCTCTGTGATAAGACCGCAATAGTAAAGTGATTTTGGGAAAAACGAAGATATGTTAGAGTGAAAGATACAAGTAGTCGAGTTAGAAAGATAGCATATAGAAAGCGGACAGGATTGTACACAATGTTACAATACGTTAATATACATTTAATTGAATTAAGTCAATTACTGTATCAAGTCTTGATTCTAACCTTTTTATGATTAAGTTTAAAGAAGACATATTTACTATTTGCTTTTATATTATATTTTCTATGTACTTTTATACTATATTTACTATGTACTTTTATATTTTCTATTCACTTGTAGGATATTATTAAATGTTTTCCAGTGATACTAATGAATTCACTCGTTTGTTTATAGTTTTTTGGTATTGTGGTTTATCCTCCTCCAGCTAATTGCCATATAGAGGCCACATTACCAAGGCCCGCAAAGACAGGTTCGGCTCCCCAAGGAGCGTCATAACCTGCTCTACGGACCAAGAGTAAAGTGAGTTAAAGAAAAACGTAGATAATTCGAAGAGTGAAAGACAGAAGTAGTCGTGTTAGTAAGATAGCATAGAGAAAGCGGACAGAATTGTACTCGATGTTAGGAGGTGCAATAGGTTTGTTTATAGTTGTTTTATTATCATATGACTGCGAATATATTATTTACAAATATCATCCTTTTTATATAAAACTCAGAACCACAAAGTATTATATTAATAACCTTACATACTTGTAATTACGTTGGAATAATTTTCCAATACTTTTACGAAGACCGCATCATTACAAATACATTAATGTTAATATTAAGATACAACCGCTAATTGTAGGCTAGTATCTTAAAAGACGTCACAACACTTTTTATATTTTCTATATACTTTTATACTATACGCTTTTAGGAACTTACTTAATCAATTAATTTCCTACAATTCAGCATCTTTCGCATTATCAGACTCATTGAACCCCAAAATTATGCGCATATAGGTGATAAAGCGCTGATTGTTTAGATCTATTTAAGTCCAAACAGTTCAAGATGCAGCAAAAGCCGGTATGATAAAGATATGTCCCTCGTTATATTAATTGGAGTAAATAATATTTTTAATCATATTAAACACTTTTTTCGAGATACACAGCGGGAAAAAGCTAAAAGTGTTATGTAAATCTTTGATGAAAGAAGAACTGAATAATAGAGAAAGAACTGATTAACAGAGAAAGAACTGATTAAAAAAGAAAGAACTGGGTAACAGAGAAAGAATTGATTAACAGACACAACTATAATAACAACGATTGTATAAAATGTTTACAATAACGATCAAGGTAATGAAAATAAATATTGAATGGCAATACAAGAACAGGTTGATCTTATAATAAAGTATATAATAACGGATCAAGGGTATTCTTGGAAATCGCTGTTCAATCATGAAATTTTATAGACTGTGTCTGGTTAATACCTAGCCAAGGTTGCTAATATGTTGTTCAATAAAGTAGCAAAAACGAAAAGATGAATGAGCCAGAAACTATTCTTTTCAATTTTTTTTTCTTTTTTTTTTGTATTAATTTTTTTATTGTTGATAAAAAGTTTTCTGTTTATTTGCTGAAAAGTAGGAAATTTTATTGACTAAAATAAAACAACTTCAACGCGCGCATTGCACCAAATTATAAAATTAGTTATATTGGATGATTCATGTTTTAGGTGATTCCTATTTCATCGGATGATTCGTATTTCATAAACTTCATAAATTAAACCTCTTCCTAAATTAAATATTTAATTAAAATTAAACTTCAGATAAACATATTTTGTTTTTCTTAAATTTAACAGTTCTGTTAGCCCGATACGAGGCCGAAAACCTATGGTACTTAAAGGTACTTTTTTATGGCGTATTTTGACCTAAATATTAGTGGCAGATTAAATAAGTGAATAAGTTGACAGGAACAAAAAGAAAACCAAAATTTTATTTTTATAGCCACAAAATTAATAACAATTGGTTTAAGTAAAAATTTTAAAATACTTAATAACAAGACAACGTTGCTTTAGAACCGTGTTGTGCAAAAAGTTGGGAGACAAAGATATAACCTTCACTCTCTATACGGGAGAGGGAAAGAGAGGAGATAAAAAAAACGGTTTTTCAACTTAGTAAAAGATTTTATATTATAAAAATTATAACATTATATTCTAACTGAAAGTGTGCTTAAGTTTATGCCGTCAATAAAGTTTCTTCGTATTAAAATAAGAAGCAAGTGTTTGTTATGATTTTTTATTTGGGGTAAACAATTCATTTAAAAGTTTAAAAAATAACAGTTTGTTTCATTTTACCTAATGGATTTTGGTGGTTTGTACCTCAGCTTCTTCAAAAAATTAAACTTTTCCTTATAACTAAAGAATGCTGTTTAAAGTGGTTAGAGCACAGTTACCATAACAATGTTCTCTTTTTATTAATTCAAAAAAAAAACTGTTTTTAATTCTTGTGCTAATTTTTAAGAGCTAAAATACTAAGATAAAAAATTGAATATTGCTCTTAACAACAATATTTAATATTTCTTATAACTTATGAGAAATATCAAACTATTATTAAATGATTAAAAAACAATTTGTTTGTTATAATAGAACTAAAATATTAAAGATGCATTGGTATCATAAGTTGTTAGGACTCAAATAAATTTAACTTTAATTGTTCTTTTTTTGTTCTAAAACTTACAATTATTGTAATTTTTAACTGTTCTAAAATTGCCTTCATTTGAAGGAAAAGACTGTTCAAAGTTAAGCTTAAGCTATAAAGTATTTCAAATTAATTTTTAGTTCGAAGCCAAACTATTTAGTGCGTACAATAAGTATTTGGCCCAGATAGATATACACTGAGAGTCTATTCATTTTTATGTTATTATGCAACACACACACAACTTAACCTGAATATAATTTTTTTAACATAAAATAATGAGAAATCAGAAGACCATAGTCTTAATATTAAACGCTTTAAATAATATCTATTTACAACTGTCAAAAACTACTAGCTGCTTTAATTTTGAAGCTTGGTTGGCTTCTTTAAATAAAGAAAAAAACAATTTGACTTTACTGAATTGACATAGAGTTTTGCTTTTTTTCCTTAACCTTAACTCTAGTAACACTTTTTTAAAGTAAAGTTGGTATTAACAAGGTTTTTGGTATTAAAAAAAAAGTTTTTGGTATTAACAAAAAAGTTTTTGGAATAAACAAAAAAGTTTGTAAAAAAAAAAAAAAAAACAGAAGATGAAATTCTAATTTTTTTTTTATATTAATGGATGTTTTGAAACAGTTTAAGAAAACTTAACACTTGTTCTGAATAAATAAGACAAAAATTAGTTAAAAGTATATATATTAATGAATTAAGATTACAATTATTTTTCGTAATTTCGGATTGAAATCGAATGCGGTCTTCTTTCTATACGAAAACAATAAAAACTTATAAATATAGAAAAGTTTACTACTAGAAACAAAGTTTATATGTCAAAAAATGACGTTGTTAGACTTACATTATTTGCCTCTGCCTCTTCCTCTTCCCCAGCTACTTCCACCACCACCACCTCCACCACCTCCGCCACCTCCACCACCGCCTCCTCCTCCTCCACCACCCGCTCCGCTTCCGCCTCCACCACCACCACCACCACCGCCTCCACTGCTTCTGCTGCCACCTCTCCAAGGATCAGCAAATTCATTTCTATAGCAAAAATAAAATTCAGTATTATAATATAATATAATATTAATATAATGAAAAGCACATTATAATAAAAATCTTACATCTCTTTTTTTCCGTAACCATAACCTCCGTATCCGCCTCCATATCCCCTATCTCTGTTTAAATAAAAAATCTGGCGTTGTTTAAAACTTGATTCAAATTACGAATTAAAAAATAGTATTCAGAAATGCTTACATTTCTCTTTTTCCATAACCATATCCGCCATATCCATCTTCGCTTTTATCTTCGTCTTCATTTCTAGGTTTAAGATAAAGTAAGGTGTAATGTTACATTATAAATAAGTTGTAAGTTAAAGCAACAAAACTTACATCTCTCTTTTGCCGTAACCATATCCCCCATAACCACCACCGTACCTTCCGTATCCACCACCGTACCCTCCGTATCCACCACCGTACCCTCCACCATAATCATTCAGTTTATTTGAAAATAAATCTTTGTTTTCCTAAAACAAAAAAAAAGGCATTTATATTTCTAAATTAATTTTAAAAATTTTCAAAAAGATAAGTTAAAAATACAACTTAAAAAAATATTAAATTCCAACGAAAGCTTTTAAAAAATTATAAAAAATAAAATGTTAGCAAAATTAAAGTTACTTCTTGACTGAATTCATCTTCGTTATCGTTTCTAAAAGAGATATTTTTTTATGTTATAATTAGCACTCGGCAAATTTTAAAATACTAAAACATTTAAAACTAAAGATACTCACTTCGTATCGGCAACATTATCTTTGGCATGCTTGAAAGGAGCTGCTTCGCTCAGCTAAACAACAAGTCGCATATGTGTCAACTTATTAGTATTATTATATATATATAAATATATATGTGTTAATATATAAGTATAAATTATAATCTTTAATTTTACTTACTAAAACTTGAAAAGAAATCAGGAACGTAACAAAAATGCAAAAGTAGTTCATTCTCTTTGAACGCAACTAATTTTATTTGATTTAATTTTTTTTATCCTTTTTATACAATTTACTAAATTATCACGGAAACACCCTGAAAGTATTTATTTAAACCAAAAACTTGCGTTAATTGGAAAGTGGTAATTTACAAATAAAAGAAAGTTTCCATTCTTAATTGAATACGATTTAAAGTAATTAAGGTCATTAAAACACCTACGAATCTACGTCACTACTCGAACACTTTTTTAGTTTTGAGTAAAACGTATTACGGCAAAGTAAAATTACATGATGTTTTGCAAAGTAAAATTACATAATGTTTTGTTAACTACTTTTAGCAGTTTTGTTGAATAAAGAGAGTTTGATTTATTGAAAAAAAAAAATTAAAGCAAAATAGACATCTACTCTTAGAATTTTTGTTTTCTAAAACAACCGGTCTGACCGCGTTCAAAACAAGAAAAAAGAGTCAAGCTCAAAAACTTACCAAGCCCATGGATTTCATATTGCCTCATTGAATCTTCCAAGAAAAAACGAAAAATATTAAAAAATAAAAATAAAAAAAAACAACTTACAAAAATGTAAAAAAAAAAAAAGTTACAAAAACCTTTTTGAAAAACTTAAGAAACTAACAAAAAAAATTATTATTCAAATCTTTTACGAAATAGTATTGGTAAAAATAAAAAAACATGGAACGTAATAAAAGACGTAATAGGAAAGAAAAAGATTGATCCAGGTAGTACTTTGTCAAACCATTTAAATGATAAGAAAAACATTGTTATTAATGATCAAAAAAAGATTGCTGAAAACTTTAACAATTATTTTATAGAAATCGGAAAGACGCAAGCTAATAAAATAACCCATAGTAAAAAAATATTTAAAAGAAGTGGACTTTGTAATGGACGAGTTTGACTTATATTATGATGAGCATCGAAATCTATTTAAAACAATACTATCAAAAAAGAGTCCGGGCCTTGATGAAATAAGCACTCAGGTGGTTTGAGAAGTTTATGATGTTATTGAATATCCCATACTGTATATCTTTAATCTCTCGTTAAAAATAGGAGTTTTTCCTAAACATTTAAAATTAGCACGCATAATTCCTATATTTAAAAGCGGAGATAACTCTACTTTATCAAACTATAGGCCGATCTCCATATTTTCATGCTTCTCGAAAGTACTAGATAATATATAAACGCATAATAAATAACAGAACTTTTACACACCTCCAAAATCATAATATCCTTTTTAATAACCAATACGAATACAAAAAAGACCATTCAACTGAACATGCAGTAATAAAGTTAATTAACAAAATTTTGAATGGGTTTGACAAAAATTATTATACATTTGGACTATCTATCGACTTGTAAAAGGCTTTCGATACAATGGATCACGAGATCCTTCTATACAAACTTAGTAATTATAGCATAAAAAAAAAAACTTAAAATGATTTAGTTGCTATCTAAACAATCGGAAACAAGTTTTATATTACAATAAAACTTACACTTCCCATCAAATCATTACTTGCGGCGTTCCCTCGGGATCCACTTTAGGTCCTTTTCTTTTTCTTATCTATATTGGTTAAAGGCCAACAAACTTTCCTTGAACATTGAAAAAAGCAAATACATTATTTTCGCAAAACCATCAAAGTCAGATACAAAATTAAAAAGATTTTCTGAAAAGTTTCTAGAAGTAATACTAGATGAACATATTAACTAGTAAGAGCATGTCAAGTTATTAGAAAATAAAATATCTAAAAGCATTGGGATTATGCATAAAACTAAGTATATTTTAAGTAAAGTTTAGAAAGTTTATACTTTGCATTTGTTCATAGCTACATTAACTACTGCAATGTTGTCTGGCAAGTACTCACCAATCAAAACTAGTTTTAGTATATAAAAACAAAAGCAAGAATGCCGCACATTCACAAATGGATATGCTAGTATTAAACAAATAATGAAAGAACTAAGACTTCTTAATATTTACGAACAAAACATTTATAGCATATTTCAGTTTATGTTTGAGTTAAAAAATAATTTCGTCCCAAAAAAGTTCCATAAATACTTCCAACTTATCGATTATAAATACGAAACAGAACATTCTATGCAGAACTACTATATTCCAAAAATCTCTTTGAGACAATCCAAATTCTCAATATTTAGATGAGGACCACAATTGCGGTACTCATTTCTCACAAATGATATTAAAACAGTAAACTCGATTCAACATTTTAAATGCGTTGTTAAACTACAGTTACTTGATCTCAACATTACTGAAACAATCTCTTATTTTTAAAACTTTTACACGTCCTGGCTATGATCTAGAAAGTTGTTTTTTTATGTATTAATTTAAGAAAGTATTTACTTTTATGGATTGAACAATGTCTTCCACCCGCATCTATAATTACAAAAATTAGCAGGCCCTATTAATATTCAAAAAAAAAGTTTTTCAAAATTATGTAATGTAGGTACTCAAATAAAGCGAAATTTTAGAAAATTTTCAAAAATAATAATTTTTTCATATAAAAATTATTATTTTAGATTTTATTTCATAATAACTATAGTTTTTTAACTAAAAGTGAAAAAGGTGCATTTTTACATGTTTTTTAATGACAATTTTTTTCGGCAATATAATTTTTATAAAACGATTATTATTTTCGAATTTTTTATAAAATTTCGCTTCTTTTGAGTACCAGGTGGATCTACTTTTAAAAAACTTTTTTTCTCAAAAATATTAGGGTACCGGTAATTTTCCCAATAAAGTTGCGCCCTTTAAATCTATCACAATCATTCTCATATTTGATAGTATCAATTATTAGCAATGTTTAGAGCCTGTAACAAGAAAAAAATATTTTATGACCCACCCTTATATATATATATATATATATATATATATATATATATATATATATATATATATATATATATATATATATATATATATATATATATATATATATATATATATATATATATATATATATATATATATATATATATATATATATATATATATAAGGGTGGTAATATATTTGACTATCTTGCTTTATATTAACATCACGCTATTAGAAGACTAAGCGCTACTCTAGCAATACAAATTATAAAAAATACAAAATATCGCATGGCAGTCACATGATTCAACACTAAGAGTCATGACAGTTAAATTATAAAGCGATATACTATTGCCTCACTCCCCCGCGCAAGGAACCGTTAACATAAATCGGTATAAGTTTTTCATCTACAAATTGTACGTTAAATTTATAAAACATTCTCTGAGGCACATTTTATTGGGTAAAATTTATTTATTAATCTGTTAATCCTTAGACGTTTGTTGTTATGAATATAACTTACTGTGGCTCTTCTTAATTCATTGTCCTTTGATGTCTTCAAAAATACTTTCCACAGTTTATAGGATTTATTGGAATCTTCTATTAAAACTATATCACCAACTTGAATTAGAGATGAACCTTTAATCTTGAAGCTTTTTCGTTGTTCACACAAATTTTTTAAAACTCGTCTTTCCATCTCGATCTAAAATGTGTCAACAGCATTAATAGATGGTTATTACGTTGGTTTATATTTGCACAATGATAATTTGATTAAATGATTGGGTATTATTACCGTTTCTCCAGGTTCTTTGTAAATAAAGGTATATGGCCGGTTATTAATGACACTTTCAACTTCAAGAAAAAAAAAAAACCTCCGAAGATTACGAACAGCACTAGCAGCCGAATTATCAGGGACCAAATCTAAAATGATAGCAGGTGTACTAAACCATGTGAATAAAAATATCCAAACTTTATTATTTATATATGAATCATTCAAAGATTAAACATATAACGAACCAGCATAATCCACCCAGGTGGATTATTAAAAGGGATGATCTATATTTAATCTGCTTACTGGTAAGGGTGGGTATATTGGGTAAAAATATGGTTTCTCTTCAAACATTTTACATACAAAACATTTTTTAATTATACTGTTAATTAGAGTCCTTGCCTTAGGAACCCAGTATCTGTTCTTTACTTCACTAAGAATTTCTTCAAGACCATTATGTTTCACGAGGACAAGAGCTTTTTTAATAATAAGCTTCAAAAAATAACTTTCACGAAGTAGAAATGTAGGAAATTTAGCTCTATATGACAATGGAACATTTTCCATTCATCCTCTAACTTTTATTAAAATATTCATAAACTGGCCATTTAAGTTATTAAGAAAATCTGGTCCATGAAACCAAGTTGCCTGTTTTTTCAAGTCGTTAATAAACAACCGCGTGAAATAATATCTGCAGCGTTTCAATTCAATTCAATATACTTCCAAGATGTAATATCGTTAAAATTTCGAACTTTATTGGATCTGTTTTGAACAAAAATTTCGCAATTCTTAGTTGTATTATTTATCCGATGAAAACATGTTGCGAATTCTGTCCAACAAGTAAATTTATCAATATTATAAACAGATTTAAGTTCATTTTTTATGTCGTTTAATAATTCACCTACTAATAGAATAGAACTGAGTTCAAGGCGAGGTATTGTTGTCTCACTTACTGAGACAACCCCAGATTATAGAATAATAAAAGCTATTAAAGTAGAAAATGAACGAGTTTCATTAAAAAAGCGTAGTTAATCACAACACCTATAAGCCTTGTAACTAGCATCAACAAAGCCATGAAGTTCTGACTTAAATAAAGACTTTTCTAAATGGTTAAGATACCACCGTGGTAATCTTATAGCACCTACAAACTGTAAATCATTAATTATATTTTGCCATTTTAACAAATTCTCTGTGTCAAGGTAACTATGCCAACCCCATTTAGAAACATTTAACTTTTGAAATAATAATTTCAGCTTAACAACAAATGGATAAGTCCTAGAGGATCGTATGCGCTGGCAATAAATATAAGAACATCTCTTTTTCTTGGTATACTAATAGCGATACTCATTATGTTCAAAAACGCATAAATTAAAGTGTTATTTCGTTTGTTCCAGATAACACCTAGAACTTTAGTTTCTTCTTTTTGAATAAATTCTCGAAAATAATTATTCGATTTAAATTTTCGAAGGTTTCCGAATTTTTGAACCTTTTCGAATTTTCGAATTTTACTTTAATATTCTTTCCTTCCTTAAATATTCTTTTTCCACTAATCATAAAAGTTTATACATTGATCTACTTCATCGAATCAACAGTTTACGTCATCAACATAAAGACTATTTATAAGTTTATTAACAAAACATGGTTTTCTGTTTAAGTTTTTTTTCAGGAGCAGTTTTAATGTTCCATTAAGTAAAATTGAAGACGACGAAACTCCAAACAACATTTTACAAAGGCAATACGTTTCTGATTTTTTGTTCGATAATTTTTTAACTGTTAAATTGTTAAGATTATAATACCATACAAACCTAACATCATCACGACGGTCTTCCGTAAGACTATCTGAAGAAACGTTTTTTCAATATCTGTGATAAAAGCAATTCTTTTAGAACGAAGCCGTTACAAAATTCCAAAAAGTGATGTTGTCAAATGGGAGTTGAATATAGACAATTATTAAGCAATGCACGAAAGAATTTTGCACTAGCATCAAATGCCATTCGAATTTTTGCAGCTATTTAATCATCACGTTTAACAGATCAATGGTCAAACTTTTTCAGCATTTAAATCAACTACTGCAACTTTTTCAATAATTCCATGAGATAATTGATCTTTAATAATATTATTTTAAGATTTAAATAAGCTTTCATCTTTTAAAAATTGTTTAGTCAAAGAATTCATTTGGTTGACACATAAAAAATAGTTATTAGGTAACACAAAATGATCACCACGAAATTAATCATTTTTCTTACTATTATCTTTATAATCTCAAATTTTTCTTAAAGAAGAATTTATTACCAAATTATCGTCAATAAATTCAGATTGTACCTTCAAAACATGTACTGTACTTACAAAAGAACTAATTCCTCTTTTATCACCTGAATGATCACTTAATACATATCCTCCAAATTTAAATTTTATAGCAACTGGCCCAAAATTGCCTCCAATAATTGTATCATCAAAGAATTTCCAGTAAAAATTTGCCCCTACTAAAATATCAATACTCACAGGACCATTTACTACTTCATCTGTTAATATTAGACCCTTTAAATGGTTATTATTCCTAATAGTGAAATCAATATGTTGATCATTTATGGGGGGTGCATATGTCCTGGGGGGCGCATAAAAGACAAAAAAAATTAAACAAAATAATCACAAGTATCTTTAACAGTAAATTGAACTCTTATACCTCAGTTTCACTCTAATCCCTCTCTAATACCTCAGTTTCACTCAAACCCCTCTTAAATACCTCAGTTTCACTTTCCAAATGTATTAATAATGATTCTCTTTGCGTCTATAGTTTACAAATTGAGTTTACTTCGCAATGATAGTGAGATGTAACTAAGTTGTGAACACCTATCAAATAGAAGACGTGCTGAATAACTATATTTACTTGAGATCACAATGGTTTTCGCTGTTTGCATAAAAACGGAACTTTCATGCTTCGATAACGAACCAGCTATAACTCCAAAGAAGATAGGTTTCTTGAATATCAATTTTATTTGATTCACGTGTACGCTGATGCATGATGCAAGTTTGAGCTAATAAAGCATTTCATTTTAGTATTACAACTTTTAGCAATTTGCCCTATTTTTAAACATTTGAAACATCTTCTTTTCTGTTTTAAAATTGTTTTTCTATCATATAAACTTATAAGTATATTGCATCCTTGAGGTTTGTGACTTTTATCAAAAAAAATGCATTTTAAATAGCCATTAAAATTATTAAACTTATTTTGCGGTTTCATATCTCCACTTGAATATAAAGTTTTTTGCAGTAAAGTGTTGAGATTCTTCTTTACTAAATTAGCTTTTTTCGCGAGCTTGAACTTCTGTTCTTAAAATGTTTAATCCCACCAAATAACAGTATCAGTATTATATCCCACCAGTTACCAGCATCAGTATTATATCCAACCAGCATCAATACATCACCAGTTACCAGCATCAGTAAATTCTCCTAAGACAAATAAACTAAGTTCTTCTAGAATTTTCTGCATAAGCACTGGTATAAGAAGAGGTCTATATTGTTTGGAATCAATTTCTAAATTTTCAAAACTCCTTACTTAAATTTCTATATTGTCATAAATTCAACAAAAAGACGATATACTTTTAATATTATTACCTTGTTTAATTGACAATAATGTTCTCATACGTGAAGATATAACTAGTTGTTTATTATCAAATCTTTCTTTTAATAAACTTTATGCATTGTTATAATTATCACTTGAGAAGTGCAAACACTGGTATAGTAAAAAACAATTAAACACTTGTAAGTGCAAACACTGGTATAGTAAAAGACAATTAAACACTTGTAAGTGCAAACACTGGTGTAGTAAAAGACAATTAAACACTTGTAAGTGCAAACACTGGTGTAGTAAAAGACAATTATCACTTGTAAGTGCAAAAACTGTAAATTATCACTTGTAACTGCACATACATATAGTATAGTAAAATGTCCTTCTAGAAGATTTCTTAAGTAAGCTAATTTCTTTATTGGACTTAAGTCATTATTATCTATTGCACACATAAAATTTTCATAGGACGTTTGCCAATGTTCAGGGTTGGAATTAAATGGTTTTAATTTTAAAGATGGAAGTGTAATCATTATATTACTTTTACAGGAGCTATTTGTTAAACTGTTTGAACCAAAATTAAATTTGTTCATAAAATTATTTATTGCAGATAATTTTGATCGATAAAAAATAACAAAGCCAGTACTACTATCTTTTTCTTCCTGAAGACCTTTTTCTTTATCAATCAAAGTTACTATTTCTTCTTTTAAATTTTGGATCTTATTAAATTTGTCAATCAGAGTGTCACGAAGACAAGCCAGGGTTTCGATAGAGTCATTTAAGTTACTTAAATTATCCCCCCCCCCCCCCATTAAATATCTTATCTTAAATACGTTTAACTGAGTTGATGTTGTCTATATTATTGTCTATATTATTATTAGATAGTCTAAATTAGACTATGGTAGACATTTTCTTAAAAAAATATTATAAACCTTATATTCCAAAAATCAACAATAAATTGACAATTTGACCATGTGGTCCAAACTTGCCTTGATGTCCTACTTCCCAAAAAACCAGAAAAAACAAATAAGAAAATCAATAAATAAGAAATAAAAGCAATAAATAGCCTAACATACTAATATTAAATAAATAAACTAAGGATTAAGTAACTGTTGCTAGGAAACTAATACTTGTACATATGTAAAATCTTTTGAAATAAAATGTTTTTTTATCACTTAATAAATCAGGGTAATTCAGTAAGCAAACAACATTAATCAACTTAAATAAATCCAATCAATAAACATAGGGGAAGGTTGCGTATGTTGAGCATGTTATATCAAAATAACGAAAAAATAATCTCAAAAAAAATATTAAATTAAGTTGTATCTTCAAGGACTATACTGTATAGTAGGGATGGCAAAAATCCCGCAAATTTTCAATTCCGGGATATCGTAGTTGAGAAATTTGTGCCCGGGAAATCCCGGGAAATCCCTGGATTGAAAAAAAAAAACGCAAACGCAATTGAGCACTCATCAAACACTTAAAAATTATAAATTTAATTATAATATAACTATAATATTTAATACATTTATGAACCTCTAAAATTAAGTTGAATCATGTTTTAACTTAATTTTGTATAAAAACTT